ATTTTGGTAATATTTAGAAAGAATTGGCAACGATACTATCTCTCTTTGGAAATTTTCGAAAGAAAAGGAAAATTTTCATTTCACAAAATTGATTGTGTTGTATAATAAATCTTTTGATCATTGATTATGATTATGATCACTCTCCAATTTTTTTAAAACGTTCAGAGGTTGTATTTATAAGCAAAAAAAAAAAAAAAAAAGAAAAAGAAATCACTTCACAAAATTGATTGCATTGTATAATAATCTTTTGATCATTGATTATGATTATGATCACTCTCTCAATTTTTTTAAAACGTTCAGAGGTTGTATTTATAAGCAAAAAAAAAATGAAAAAGAAATCACTTGATTAAAATTGAGCCTTTTCCAAAAATGTGTTGTTAAAGAAATTAATTAAGCTTTTTTTGAAAAGGATCCTCTCCTGCTACTAAAAATACCAGCAAGAAATTAATCCATTATTGATTTGGTATTTAGCATCACCACTAAAAAAGCAATTTGGAATTAATTATTTAAAAAAAAATATTTAATTAATTTTAAAGGAAATCAATCAAGTTTTTTTGAAAAAATTCTTGCCTTTTTGGAAAATGAAGAAAAATACAACAATTTGGGAAATTGTTTTATTAAAATATTATTTCTAATATTAAAAACGACCATGCCTTTTTTGAAAGTGTGAAGAAAAAAATGCAATGATTCGGAATTAATTTTATTATTACTTTTCTAATATAAAAACAACAATGCCTTTTTTGAAAGTGTGAAGAAAAAAACAACAATTTGGAATTAATTCAATTTTAATTTAATTAAAACATTAAACCGTGCCTTTTTTTGAGAATGTGAAAAAAAAACATTATTGTTGAAGGAATTGAACAAAGCTTTTTTGAAAAAGGTTCCCCTGTTGCTTATTGTGAAGAAGAAAAATGCAACAATTTGAAAATTTGATTCATTATTTAACAACCATGCCCTTTTTGAAGTGGCAAAGGAAATCCTTGTCAATTTAAAAAATCGCGGTAGAGTATGAATCGTAAATTGTAAAAAATAAATAAATCGTTAAAATAAACAAAACAAATAATAATAAAAACAATAAATAACAAATAATGATTAAAAAAAATTAAAATAATAAAATAACATGTGTT